GGCGCTGGGAGAGGTGCTGCCACAGCTGCCTGCGACTGGGTCACACAACGGGCCTGAGGTGCCCAACGTGCCAGCACAGGACTGCTCGGTTTCACTCCGCCTACCTGGAGCTACAGCTCTCTGTTTCCATTTTACGTCGCCATTAGAAAATCTAAAAATAGATGGTTGGAATCAATTCTATTGCGATTTCTCAGATGACTATCAAGAATGGGCCTGAGTCATTCCCAAGGCAAACTCTTAAGTTTCACATCCCCATATTTGGCTTTTGTTTTGAACAGGAAACCTAGTCTGTGTTTATGTGCTAGAGCAGTAGCTGGAATGATATCTTTACTTTTCACCAGTGCTTTACACACATGCTTTTCTAACTAGGGTTTTCCTTACGATTGTTAATCCTGGAGCAGGAATTTCCTATTGCATTCCTCATGGCAGGAGAGCAAGAGGGAGAGGCTGCTCTTTCTCTAGCAATATCCTCTTCCACCCTTCCTGTTTATGTAACGTTTTTGTTTAACAGAGGGGGCCGTCTGACAGTGACTTTGCCCTAGCTATAGCTCCCTTGCTCTCCATATGTTTAACCAGGTTACAGCACGCTTGTGTAGTCCGTTGAGACGTTTTTCCTTCACCTCCTGGCCTGAGCTGAGGAGTGGGTCAGGAAGGTAGGGCCAGGGCTGTGTCTCCGGGATGCGACACTGCTGCTTCACTGCAGCACCCGAAGCTGCACAGCTGTTCGTCAAGCTGGGACACGTTAGGAAAAGGACAAGAGGCAGGTTAAAACCACTCCCTCTGGAAAGGAACAGAGCCGTTTCCAAGAAACAAATAGTTTTACAGACCAAAAGAGGGGTCTCAAAACACTGGGTTTTCCAAAGCCTCCCTGGTCAAACTTTAGCGAGTAAGAAATATAATGGATACTTGAGTGCCCTGTCCCTCTATCTTCATTTATCTGATGGGAAGTTGAGGCCCATCCCAGTTCATGGCTTTCACCGTTACCTCAGGAACAAAACGGTGATTTTCACAGGTTACAAATCCGTGCAGCCTGACTTAGGAGTCCACAGGCAGTGGCCCAGAAGTGCAAGAGCCACAGGATTTCTCCCTGCAAGAACAGAAGTGCAAGATGCAAGGTCAGCCTCATTCTCACTGGAACTGGTGACGGTTTGGTCACTGATGTTGCTCAGAACAAGCTAGCTCAGCACTTTCCCCAGCCCCTCAGGAAAGGAAATTAAACAATGTGCCTAAATTAAAGTGGTGCTTTTTTCAGTGTCTAAACCAAGCACTTCCACCAACCACCTTCATGCTGACCACAAAGCCTACACTAAAGTGGAGAGGACAGCTGACCCCAGCACGGCTCTCCTCTACTGACAAGGCAGAACGCTGAACTGGTGCATCTCAAGGTGATCTGCAAATATGGTTTATCCAAAAAGTGTTAGCCCAAGCCCTCAACAGCGTCTCAGTGCCTAGCTTTCACTGGCAGCCCACTGCCATGCGAGGAGAATCCTGCACTCCCACAAAACACACGCACTAGGAAATGCAGAGTATTCCTGGGTATGGTGATGAAGATCTGGAAAGAAAGCATCACGTTAGCTGTGATCCTTCCGATGAGGAACACACAACCTGAATTCTGGCCTCTTGACTGCAGAAGGAGCTCAGAGGGAGTTTCGGGTACTTTCAAGGACTACTCGCTCTCAGTTGCAGTGGCTCACCTTGGGTGTTTCCAGAAGATATTCCAGAAGCGATTTTGTGGTAGATCTGGATTTCACCCTAGATTTTTGCAGGACAAATGATCTAAGAAACTGTATGATGCAAAAGTAAATGCCAAAAAAACCCAGAAAAAATAGCTACCATTACAAGTACCTAACTGATGGGAAAAACAACTGTATACATGTTCTCAATATGTAAAATACAATTTATTGTATTTAGGCCATTCATAAGTATCAACACAATGTAGTATGTTTGAAACAAACATCTTAGCAATAAATACTACCTAAACATTAATATTAATCCTTTGATCAAATGTGTACAGTGTATTGACTTAATATTGCACAGTGAGCTCTATATGACATTTCCATAGTGCATTCAGTTTGTAACGGGATAGTTTGCCACAAATATTGCAAAGCATCAGAGTTGACTTTTCCAAGTGAAAACTGCTCTACTATTTCATTAGGGACTGAAGGCTGATACAAATGTTAGTGTCCTAGGTTAACTGGTGATGGATTCATGGAACCTAATGTTTTCATGAATGAGGAGACTGTGTTTCTAATACAATTTTTATAGAATTGTAAAAAAAATCCCACTTTCAAATAGAAGAAGGATATTATCATCACACTTAGGTGAACAGCCAACTCCAGTGATCAAGCTCACTCAAGTGAGCTTTTCTCCTGTTTCAACTTAAATATAAATAATATCTTTGATCTTTTCAGAGATGTATCTCACCACTTGCATTTCAAAGACCAGACCACGCAAGCCCCCAGCATCGCTCCAGCACTTTGCTCCCTATTTGCCTCTGCTCACATTAGACTCAGCACTCAGCATGAGCAGAGGTGATGCACTCTAGTCTCAATACTTTTAAATGTATAAATACAGATATAATTTCCCAACAGTTCTATAACTAACTGTATCTCAGCTTTATCTGATTAAATCTTCATGCTACAGCATCAGCTCCACATGGGGGTAGTCCTGCCAGTTTGTATTGCATTACTGTGCTCACACGGAGGGCTGGGTGCTGGCAGCAATGTGGCCAGCTCTGCTGCTTCCCCGAAACCCAGCAGGCTCCTGGATCAGGTGGGCTCAGGTGCTCTGCAGAGCACAGTGTCAAACACTGGCAGGACTGTGGCTCACAGCAGGTTTTCAACAACTCTGTTGTTCATTCTCAAGTCCAGCTATGACAAAACCACATCCAAGCCCGGGAGAGATTACCGTTAAAGTAAGGACTGTACGATTTGGCTTGTAAGGTTTGACCTGCATTTGCATGAACTTGCACTGCTCTGACATTGCACAAGGACCTATAAATGGGCTTATACTGTCTCAATATATATTTAAGCTACATTGCCCTGCCAAAGTGGTATGAACTGCTTAAAATGCAAATAAGAATCTTGATCATAGCATGACTATGACTGACTTGGAAAAGATCTGACCATCAGTATAACATTGCTTAGTGCTTAGCATGTAGTATCCCTTACTGCTTAGCATGTAGTATTCCTTTAAGTAAAAGAAAATTCACTCACCAAGTGATACAATTAAAAATTTCTAAGAAACTACTGGTTAAGTATTACCTCATGATTATGTAAATCATGTTTATATCCCTCCTCTTTGCAGTTTATCAGTTTGTATATATTTAGATTCTTTATATTCAGATAACAGAGATGAAATACTTACTTCTATCTAAAAAGACAGTAGGAAAAAGCAGGGATTGAAAGGACTCCTTTTTTGTACAAAAAATACATTTTTATGACAACAACCAGTACCTTCACAGTAGGTCCTTTGCTCCTCTACTTACTACCAAGGTTCAGTCATCCATAACGCCATCATAAAGTATCAGAATTGTTTTTCTTTCCATTTTTCAACACCAAAATTCAGTGCGCTACTATGGAATGTTTCCAAAGTCTTATGCTACATCCTGATAAAATCAGGAATCTTTTTTCTTTTTTTCTTCTCCCCCCCGCCCCTTTTTTAACTTTAAAAAGAAACTCAATTCATGCAAATAAATACATAATGTGCACTAAAATACCCAATTCTATGACATAGGTGACTTCAGAGAAAAGTCCCTTTATAATTATCTAAACTAGTTCTAATAAAAGAAGATAGTTTCAAAACAGAATTAAAAACATTTCATTTTACTACAAGTTGATGTTTGCTATGTGTTCAAGCAGACTACATTCTCTACCTAGTTGTGTTAATCTGTGGGTTCAATGTCACTCTTTTGTAGTGTAGCGAATATTTGATTTTGAGTGGTGGCTTTTTTATGCAGTTTTTGTAGTCCAGGGTTTCAATCTTCATTTGCTTCTGCATAGAGGATCTCAGGTTAAGCCCAGATCTGCAGAGAGAGAGTTAAACAATTGTTTATAGCATTGACTATTCTATCAAATGTTTAATTAAAATTTGGCAAGGCAGACAGATTAGTGGGTATCAATGATATTATTTAACACCTAAGTTCAAAATTTAACAGTTCTGCTAGCGCTTTGTGGGAATTTTTTTTAATTTGGATTTTCTGTTCGTGTTTTACACTGTGCGTTTATATCCTCTTTAGTCCCTCTAGAGTCAATTTTCCTGTAATAACCCTTCCCCCTCACCCCCTTTTTTGAACAATCAATCAAAGGAAGAAGCACCCAAAGTAGCTGCTCCCAGCACCTACCCGGAGAGTGTGGTCCCAGGAGCCCGAGCAGAACGCCGTCCCATCGGGAGAGACTCGCAAGGTGCTGACACGATTTTCGTGTCCAAACAGAATGGACACACGGGACCCTTTCAGCACATCCCAGACATTTATGGTGTAATCATTATAGCCTGCAAACAGTAGGCGACCTACAAATAGAATGGGATTTTACAAAGTGAGGTCTTAAGAAAGTAACACGTCTTGACTGCAGCAAGGGCTCTCTGCAGGACATCCATCCCCCAGCAAGCCACAACCTCGCTTTCCCGCGCCACCCTCCGCACACAGCGAGCCCTGGCCACTGCTTCCCCTGCTCCACCGCTGAGCTATCCATACTAAATGCTGAACCAATTCAAATTTACTAGTTAAAAATACAGTTAAAATCGAGTTAAATTATACAGAATCTGTTCAGTGATTAGAGATGAGGGATGACTCCAAATCACGACAGACTGAAGAGCACTTCAACAGCTAATGCAGGGTAATAACATTTTGCTCAGTCTTCACGCAAGATGTTGAATACAAACGGTTGAATGATTAGTAGGCAATTTGGTAAGTGATTCATTGTCCCCATAGGGACAAGCTGTGGTGCTTGTGACCATGACAGAGACATTTGCCTCTGTCCTGGGCGGAGGGCAGTTTGCCACCCACTCATCCTCACGCAGGGTGACCATAGGAGCTCTGTTTGTGCTGAGGCAGGAGAGAGAAGACTCGAGCTCATGTCTCCAGATCTGTAGTGAAAAATGGTAATGTCTCTGTCTTCACGCTCCTCTAACATGCTTTTACTGTCTATTAATCATTTATTATCCTTTTATAAATTATTTATGTTACGTGCGCTTAATAGTCTAGTTACATTTCGTGTTTCCTTTGAAATGTTTTTAATCATTATTGTGAAATTCTAGCCCAGCTGTAGTTAATGGCAAAATATTTCCTGACTTCAGTAAGGCCAGGAAAATACTTTTCATTGCTAGAACAAAGCAATAGTCAGCTAGGTTATTAAAAGAGTAACTATTTTTACAGAGGCAAAAAAAGGCTGCCATGTATTAATGTTTCTTTTGGTATTTAGTATTACTTTTAACAACTTTTAGTAAAAAATGCTTTCTCAAATTAAACTGACAAAATTTTACAGTCCGCCCCAAATCCCAACACCACAATAATCTCCAAAGTTCAGATCTTACCGCTGAGAGAAAAGTCCACACTGGATGCTCCAAAAATGATGCTCTCTTTGGAATAAATTGCTACTTCTCTGTCTGCACGAAGGTCATATAAACGACACTAGGATTAAACCAAAACCAACACACATGACTCAGTAAAGGCTGGAGTCAACGGCTACTACGTTTCATTGAAAAAACCTGAGTGGGAAGGACTGCAGCCTAACAGGCATCACGGGAAGTGGCTGCTTGGCTTCTTTCCTCTTGCTCTCCTATCTGCTGTTAACTGGGACTCCTCTGGAGCCTAACAGGGATCTAAGCAACACAAAGCTGTTTTGTATAAACTGAGTGAAGAACTTGCTTTTCCAAACCACTTCTCTAGCCTCCTCCTTGTCCTGCTATAAAGAGATGAGTGGTGGACTTTGGACCATGGCTACCCACTGAAAGTCCCCCCACTCTCTTGCTTCCCCACTGTGGCATCCTATGGATTAGAGCATCCTGCTGCTGAGGGGTGCATGAGGAGAGCCAGTCTCTAAGAGAGCAGTTTAGCCACAGCCAGAGCAGTCTGGGAGACAGAGGATTAAATCACTAGTCATCTTTGAGAACATGGACCACATGGCATGGTACTCAAGACAGTCCCTTGGCGTGGGGAAGCCTAGATGCTAGTCCTTGCTCTGAGTACGACAGGATAGCAAGCAGTCCCTGCCCTACCATGAGGCCTCTCTGTCTAAAAAGCCTATGTGGAAATAATTCAAGGGAAATAATACATTTTTATACAGATGTTTGCTTTTCATTCCTCATAGAAAATCCCCAATCACCTCTCCAACCTGCACCTCCTGTTTTCTATGATTTGCCATCATATTTAGGCTTAACACGGAAATAACGTATAAATAGACGAGATTTGGTTGCCATTCAGAAAGGCAGTCTGTTAGTCCTGAAATCAAAATGCACTTTTGAAACTGTTTGAACCGAAAAACTTCCTCAGTAAATTTCCACTGGCCAGATGGGTTTGCTAATGCTAAGACTTTGCTAATGAAAAATGGCTGGTGTTCAAGCCTGCACATAAAGAAGAGGCTGTTTCATTCGCAGGGCGATGTGAGGCTGCCAGGTATGTGAAGTCCAGGTCTCCCAGAGCTCCACACTGATCAATTATTCCATCAGACAGTCCTGATAGGGAGTCGGGTCACCGCAGGTGACAGCACTGCCATGTGAGCACACTTTTATGGTCTCCCTCCAGACAGTCAGGATTATCTCTTCCTCAAAATCCCTAAGTACATAAATCAGGTCAAGGATATCAGTCAGTGTATCAGGCCATAATGCTGAAAACACCAACCTCTTAATTTAAAGAATGAAGTAGATGGAAACCACCAAAACCTCTGTCAAAAGTACAAAGATGGAATTTCCCATTCTCCTGCTCACATCAGGGGTGTCAGGAGTAGTTAAGAGAGAAAAATCCCATCAAATAAATTAATAAGCACAGGAGTCCAGGGCCTGTGGTACTGGGCATAAAAAGAAAGCACTCTCATTGGAATTTAATGATGGACAATTTCTCCATCTCACTCCCTCGGCATCTCAAGTGCTCACAGTACCACATCCGAATGTGTGGAGTGGCACTGCACTCTCTGCAGAGCTAGAGGTATTAATTTGTAACAGCAGCTTTTAGGACCTAAAAGCAGTGTATGCTCTCTCCAGAAGAGCCTTCGAAGGTCTCTACACCCAGTGAAGACAAAGGGAATGTTTCTATTGAGTTTAGCTAGTATTGGAGGAGACTTAAAACACGCTCCGAGGGCACAGTACTTTAGAAAGAGTCTTCCCACTCATGCAACTCGGTGTTTTCTTTGAATAAACAGGAGAAGCAAGGTACCATGTGCCTCCCAAATGTCAGCTCTCGAGTTACACTTACTGCCAGCTCAGTTCCTGCAGGCTGTGGTACAGGCAGAGCCTGGTGCCCTATGAGGACCCACCAGCTGCAGTGAGAGCCACCAGCCATCTGCATCACTCAGGGGCTCTATGGTGCCAGGAGGTAAGTGGCATTTTGCATACAAAAATGACCAAAATTACCTGTCAATAGTACTGTGCTCCTCCTAGCAGCTTGCTCATAGATAAGAAACATCCATAAGAGCTATCGTATCATCCAGGATGACCTGGATGCGGTGACTCATGGCAGTGAAGAGCGTTGGCAGTGAGTCAGGCTGACAGGGAGGAGGTGTACGTGGCCAAGGCCACCCTGGGGCTGTCTGACCAGGTCTGTCCAGCTGAGCCCACCGCCCCTCTGCTTGCTGAGATGTGCGCACTCACATGCAGCCTGCCTTCATGCCCTTGCGCTGCTTCTTCTGACACAAGCTGCAGCATTTCATCTGGTTCCTCCAGATGATGTGACCAACAACTATATGAAGCCAAATCTCTTCCAGTAAGACAACTAATTTTGATCATGAAACTTCAAAACACAGAGAATCTGAAATGAGTATTTGGACAGTACCTCATGTAGAAAAGTTTGCAGAGGTGACCTACAAAGTGTTACTAGTTTTTCCCTATAGCATTATATATAGTAGTTAATACATATCATATTATATTCTAGCATTATTACTTCTGCAACTTTAAGTGACTAAAGTATTTGGGAATACTAAAGTGACTAAAGTAAAGTGACTAAAATAAAGAATTTGGGAAGTAACAGAACTTCCCTAAATTAGGTTGCTGAATTAACATACCGTGGCATCGTCTGAACCAGAGGCAAAAGCATCTCCACTTGGGTAGTATCTGTGCATGAGTAAAAAACAGACCAGAACACATTACACTGAGATCATAGAATCACAGAATCGTTAGGGCTGGAAGGGACCTTCAAAGGTCATCTAGTCCACCCCCCCTGCAAGGAACAGGGATATCTCCAACTAGATCAGGTTGCTCAGGGCCTCGTCCAACCTGGCCTTGAACGTCTCCAGGGATGGAGCATCCACCACCTCTCTGGGCAACCTGTTCCAGTGTTCTACAACTCTCATGGTAAAAAATTTTTTCTTAATATCCAACCTGAATCTACCTCCCTCTATTTTAAAACCATTACCCCTTGTCCTATCACAACAGGCCCTCCTGAACAGCCTCTCCCCATCTTTCTTGTAGGCCCCCTTGAGGTACTGGAAGACCGCTATAAGGTCACCCCGGAGCCTCCTCTTCTCCAGGCTGAACAGCCCCAACTCTTTCAGCCTGTCCTCATAGGAAAGGTGCTTAAGCCCTCTTATCATCTTTGTGGCCCTCCTCTGGACCCTCTCCAACTGGCCCATGAGGTCAGACTTCAAAAATAGAACCAGCACATTGCTCAACATCGCAAATGTGCCCTCTCCCAGAAACATACTGACCTGACACTGTTGATATCTGAATCGTGGGTTTCAAATGACTGGATGCACTGACCAGACCGCATATCCCAAACCATGGCTTTCTTGTCACATCCCTAATAAGGCAAAAAAATTCACTACAGTTGTGCAAACAGTAACATTCACCCCTCATGTTCCTGATACATGTCATCACGCCCAACCACATTCAAAGGCTCTGAACATCACAGCTCTGAGAGGATCTTACCAGCAAAGCAGCCCCAGAGCTGGCTGTTCTGGTACCCCAAGCCTGGTGCAGTTGCAGGTGGAAGCGGAGCACACCGTGAAGGCTGGATCCTCGCAGTGCCGCAGACCGGCACGCGTACAGGGCAGCTGTGCAGGGGGGGCACAGCCAGCCCAGGTGTTTGGGCAGGCAGTCCCATGCTAACCAGCACTCACAGCCCTGCTCTGCTGGTTGGGCTCTCATACCTGTGTCTGCAGTCCCACCGTGCCGCAGAGCTGCATAACTGACTCATCCCCTTACCACTTAACATGCCCAATATAAAAAATTAATAGTCAGCATTTAAAGTTTTATAACTAATTCTTCTCATACACTGAAATAGAAAATTAAATAAGTGTATCCGGAGGGTCTCCTGCCCAGTCTCCCATCAGAGTTAACCCTTGCCATGGCTCTGCACCCACATGCTCAATGGCTTGGCTGAGATAAGGAAAGAAGCATAACAGCATTTCATCTCATTGTCAAGCTCTAACTTGCCCTTCCAAGCTGTGCTTTGAAAAGATCATTTAACACTCAGTGCTTGCTGCAAGGTGCTCAGCACCCTGAATGCTCTGGGTAAGGGGCTCAGCACATGTAGTCTGCAACGTCCCCAGGGCAGGAACTGTCTTATACCCATGGGGCCACACTCTCAGCTGCCATGTCTCACTGCTGTCACAATCGTGGTGACAGGAAAAAGAACATGGACTTTTCTTCTAAGAGTGATGGGATATTTTAATAAATCTGACCCTGCTGAGGGGCAGGCAGCAGGCAGGATCAGCTCCACGCGGCTGCCGCTCCTGTCCAGCTAGCATGTCCTACAGCAGACCGTGCCACAAGTTCTTTATTTTTAAGCAAATATGATTGCTAATTAGATTACGCGGTCTCTTCACAATTCACGTATTTTTCTCTTTTTTTTTTTAATTCTCTTATTAAAATGAAATCCCAGTTTTTTACTTACTATGTCATTATTTAAAAGAGCTAATGCTCCTTTGTACCAAATCGTGGTTTCTGTGCAGAGGAAACCACACAGGGTAGAGAACATTTTGGACTCAGCATATTTCCCGCTCAAGCCTTGCCACAGCCCGGGCCCAGGCCTTCGTATTTCTTGCATGTGCACCATTCTTACTGACCTCTCTGGGAGTCTGGGGGCAAGACCAATCTGACGAGCTGGTGCTTTGACTCCTAAGGTTTCGAAGGAGAAACCAGCCACCACCTGCGGAGAAATGGCTCCCTGAGAGCTATCCAACTCATCCCGAGGAGCAGTGATCAGAGGGCACTGAGCACAACAGTCCAGGAGGCAGCCCTGAGCTCACCCTGGAGGGCTGGGATTTTTACTTAAATCGTTCAATGTAACAGCATCCACTCTACATGCTGATGTACTGGTTTTGCTTATTCCAGCTCAAGGTTACTGTACTGCACAGGCACAATATACAGAAAGTCTCTCTATGCCACCATGCCTTCAGGTTGGAGTGTTTTGGTTATACCTGCACTGACGCAATGTAAGACAGATCCTCACTGAAGTGGTATTTTGCATGTGATGAATTAAGTGAGTCCTTGTAAGCACAAACATGCCCAAGCTGCTACATCGACACAAGTATGACATATTCTCTTAGCAGTACCAGAGCTGCTTGTGATTCTTTGCCCTATAATAAGCTGAGCTGTTCCCAGGGATAATGAATCTGTCCTTTCTGGGAAGCAAGCTCGGTGACAGGAAAGCCCGGGAGGAGTAATGCACTCAGATGGAATTAGCTTTCAGTCACGCTTCAGAGCAGCTGTGCTAGCAGCAGGCAAACTGGGCCAGTTTGCTGGGCTCTGCTCCTGATGGGCCAGCCAAATTTGATAAAAGAGTCATAACAGAAGAGATCCAGGTTTATTGGTAGGGATGAGACTGTGACTCTGAGCACAAGTGGAATCCCCTAATCCATGGTCAGCATCCTCTGACAGAAGGGCCATTTCCACCAGCAAGCACAGGACCAGCCCTGGGCCAGCACTGGTGGGGCTCACAAACCAGGTACCTTCAGCAAAGTTATGGTAACAACCTGCCTCCAGTCAGAGAGGTCACCTCTCTGCTCCTGCCAGCTCTTACCTGCACACTCGACTTCTGCTGATCAGAACCAGCAGATCAGCACCACCTCAAAAAGGAGCCAAGTCCCATCCCGCTCACCTTTATGCTTTGCTTGCTTCACTGCCAGGCTGCATGCCAATGGCTCGGCTGTCCAGGGACAGAGATCCCTCAGCAGCAAGAATAGATTTGGAAGATGCCCTGGGTACTTTCCTAGACTAGTCATGCAGCCCCAGTGAGGTCTGTGTGTTCCCCTGGGCCAGGACAGAGAGCGGGCAGCATTCGATGGATGAAGGGGCTTTAAATGCCTCTGGTACCACTGGAAGGCACAGGGGGCTCAGCGACAGCTGAAGATGTGGCCACATCTCATCTCCCTGCTCCAACTTGCAGTGGGTTTAGCCAGCGCCCAAGCTACCCCTTGGCTTCTGGGGAGCAGCTGAGGGACACAGTGGCACGCACGTTATTTGCAGCCTTACGTCGATGCCCTGAGCACACCCTGGCACATCCCATCTGGCTCCAGAGAGCTGGGCACGAGAAAGAAGCCAAATGCAGGAGGTATCTGCTGTGCCGGGCTCCTATTCACAGGGGCTCACACCTCCGCCTGTGGTACAAGCCCTCTGCTCTAACTCTGAGCCTTTCCCTTCCCGGGAGAGGCGTTGTTTTGATCTTGGGCTGGATTGCTTTGGTGTGGGGTGGAATTTGCTAAGTAAGCAGAACTTCAGTCAGACTGGCTGGGTGGGTTTGACCCCACAGTCAGGGGTTTAATTTGCTCCAGCTTGGAAAACGTGCTTGCAATGAGTGGATTGCACTGGGGCTTCCAACACATACTCCATCACTCTCTCAATAAGATCATGAGCCTCCTGCTTTGCTGCCTTTTCCCTTCCACATTCCTTAATTTTATATGATGATAAAAAGCTTCTGCTTACCCCAGAGACAAATGTATTTCCCGTTTCAGAAGGGGCCAAGTCCAGGCACAGGACATCAGCTCCATGACCATGGAAACTCTGTAGAAGCTGCCCACTTTCAACATCCCACAGAGCGCAAGTTCCATCTCCACTTGCTGTCAGGATCTATAGGATGTGGGAAGAACAAGTCAGAACACAAAAATCAGCAGATGATCAAGTTCAAAAAGAAACAACTGACATCCTATACATACACCAAGGACACCTTTAGTTTAACAAAATATGCAATAAATCAAAGCCATAAAAACACAAGGTGAATCTAAGCACAGTTTATGGTTTTTAAGGAGAGATGTTAGAGTGGAAAGGAGAGCTGTATTGACGCAGCTATACCTACACAGTGTTTCAACAATGGTCAGTTTTGTGCAGTGGGGTTTGAAGCACTGCTGACGGTAAGGATCTGCTGGCATTTCCATATCCTCCAAAAAGGAGGCAGAACCAGACTGGTATTCCTGGCTGCCCCTGTAATTAACCCTATCCATATTTAGGCTGCTGGAATTCAATTCGGGTAAAGAGAAGAACTGCTAGAGTTAAGTATACCTGTTTAACCCTCTGATTTTTTTTTCTGTTTGAAATAGCCAGGTTAAACCCAACTAATTTGGCTTAAGACATGGATTTTCTGAAAGGGAAGTAAGCCTGTCTAGACAGTTGTTTGACAAGTCCATCACCCCTCACTTGTCCAGAACCATTTGTGTGTGAAAGGGCTTGAACACACACTGACCCAACACAGCTCCCAGCTTCCCTCATCTGCTACACTGTTTGTAGCAAGCACATGTGATCACTGCTTGTTATTGTGGCTAATCCTGATGATCCTCAATTGTTCAAAATTTCCCCTTGGCACCCGAAGCTGTTATGCAATCACAAATTCCGTAGGTTGGAAGGGTCCCTGTGCACCAGCATGGAAGGATGGAAAGGTGAACTTAGGAGGGCTCTGTCTTGTACACAGGTTTTTCTCACGGAGGGTGAGGAAACTCAAGGCATCCCCGTGGGTACTTAGAAGTTAAGAAGAAAATACTCTTAAAGAAAAAAAAATGATCACACAATCACGAAACCATTCACAGAGTTGCATAAAGGTTAAACACTGAATATGTTTGACAGATGCTCCGAAAACTCCTCCCATAAACAGAAGACTGCAAAGTTGCAGAACAAACTGTTCCGAATCCTGCAGTGGAGAGACGCTAATACTCTGAGATGGTAATAGCAGAAGTCCTGACTTGTCTTTCTGGCCAACTTTTGAAGCTAGATCAATGAACTTCTCTGTTCTAAGGAACATTTGTACTTGGATGAGGAATGAAGACGCTCAGCTCTGAGGATTTGCTTTTGTAATGGCATGTAAGAAAGATAGGAGAGGAATAAAAGCAGCTTAAAGCCTAAGGGAAGGATCTGTTGGCAACCCAGAGTTCCAGCTAACACTTAAAGGGAAATGTTATGGACTCAACTTCAGGGTATTGCTATTAAAAAACAAACGAAAAAAAACCCAAAATCCAACACCAGAAGAGAATTAACTATCTTTGCTCCGAGACCCCGGCTGCCGAGGGGGTCCGGCAGCGC